CAGTGTGTGAACTTGTATGTAGAGTGCAGAGCAATGTAACCCGTGTGTGTGTACAATACAGAGCAGAGTGAACATTTTAGGTACAGCGTACCTGTACATGCAGTGTGGAGAAGCATAAACCTGTATTTATAATGCATGGCGATGTGAACCTGTTGGTGTAGTGCAGAACACTATGGACATGTACCTGCAGGGCAGACTAAGTGCATTGAACCTGAATGTATATAATACATTGAATTGTAAGCCTGGATATATAGTGCATTGTGCTCTACATCTAGGCATTTAGTGCAGTGTGAGCCTGGATATTTAGTGTGGTGCAGTGTAGTGTTAGCTAGCAAAATAGCGCAGTGCAATGTAAGCCTGGATATATAGTGCAGTGCCAAGCTGGATATACAGTGCAATACAGAATTGAATATACAGTGCTGTGTGAACTTGTATGTGTACAATACAGAGCAAAGTGAACACCTATGTATAGTGCAGGGCAGTATAAACCTTTACGTGTAGCATACAGAGCAATGTGAACCTGTACATGCAGTGCAGAGAAGGCTAAACCTCTATGTATAATGCAGGGCATTATGAACTTGTTTGGGTAGCACTGAAAAATATGGACTTGTATCTGCAATCAAGTGAACCTACACAAGTAATGCAGGGCAGTGTTATCCTGCTGAGAACTGAAGAACAGTACTCCAGGGTATTGTAAGCCTGTGCATATAGCACAGCAGCACGGTGTAAAATTGTATGTACAGTGCTGAGCAGTGTGAACATAGCGAAAATAGTTTAGTGCAGTGTTAGCTTTTATATGTATTGCAGTGCCATCTCAACCTGGATATAAAGTATAATGCAGTGTAATGTGTGTATAGATGATTCCGTGCAATGTGAGGCTGGGTATTTAGTGCAGTGTGGTCTGTGGCTAGATGTATAGTGAAGTGCAATGTGAACCTGGATATATAGTGCAGTGCAGTGTGAACCTGGATGTGTAGTGCAGTGTGAGCTTGGATATATAGTGTAAAGCGCATAATGGAACCTGCCTGTGTGCGCAGTGAAAAACAATTACTGCCTGACTATACCACTGACAATAGTATTTGGCTTGGCTGCACCCCTCCATGGCTCCATGGTAATGCCTGTACTGAAGAAACTATGGTACAGGTCGTCACTGCCCTCCTATAAGAGTTCACAGCAGTGTCAGCCATCCCATGCACTGTTTATAGTGTCTATCAACTCTAATCCATTATAGTTTATAACATCTACCACCATCCATTACACAATCGGTTTATCACCATGTGCAGTGTCTAGTTGTGTCAGTACATAAGTCTCATGATGTGTCGCTGTTGCAATCTATCTGTGCTTATAGAATCAGCATCTTGCACATGGGATACCTCAGTACAGAATGTTATCTCCATTACTGTTAAACAATAAGAAGTTTGTTCAAATACTGGGCAAAGCCTCTCATTTACAAACAGAAAATGTTTGTATTTTCTAAACAATAATACTAATATACCAATTTACAGAATTTACAAATATCAATGGATAAATAAGCCTTTGTTTTTACTGTATATATAAAACTATCTATGGATTTTTAAGGCTGGCCTGTGTCATGCAGAAGAAGGCCATTCAGCGCTGTCTGGTATTAGGTGCAGAGCTGATGGGAAGCCAAGCAGCTCTGAGTGGCTGCAGCATTGGAGCTGGAGGAAGCCAACCAGGTCTGAGCCCAGTAGCCTTAGAGCTGGAGATGCCAAGCAGGTCTGAGCGGTAGTAGCCTCAGAGCTGGAGATGCTAAGCAGGTCTGAATGGTAGTAGTCTCAGAGCTGGAGGAGAAAGGAAAGGTCTGAGTGAAAGTACCCTCAGAACTGGAGGAGCCAAGCAGTTCTGGGTCCTAGTAGCCTAAGAGAAGGAGGAGCCAAGCAGGTTTGAACAGTGGTAGCCTCAGAACTGGAGGAGTCGAGCAGATCCAAGCAGTAGTAGCCTCAGCACTGTAGGAGCCAAGCAGGTCTGAACAGTAGCAGCCGGAGAACTGGAGGAGCTGAGGAGATCCAAGTGGTAGTAGCCTCAGAGCTGGAGGAACCAAGCAGATCCAAGCAGTAGTAGCCTCAGAGCTGGAGGAGCCAAGCAGATCCAAGCTGTAGTAGCCTCAGAGCTGGAGGAGCCAAGCAGATCCAAGCTGTAGTAGTCTCAGAGCTGGAGGAGCCAAGAAGATCTAAGCGGTAGTAGCCTCATAACTGGAGGAGATAAGCAGATCTGAGTGGTAGTATCCTCAGAGCTGGAGGAGCAAAGCAGGTCTGAGTGAAAGTAGCCTCAGAACTGGAGGAGATAAGCGGGTCTGAGTGGAAGCAGCCCCAGAGGTGGAGGAGCCAAGCAGGTCAGAGCGATTGTAGCCTCAGGGCTGATGGAGCCAAACAGGTCAGAGCAAGTGTAGCACTGAGGCTGGAAGAAGGCAGAAAGCTCCTGGCAGCTGTAGCATTGGAGCCTCAGAGCTGTTCTGCAGCTTTGCTTAGGGGTGGGTGACAATTAAAAGGTTTTAATGCACATGAGCAGAAGGTGGAAAATTGATTTAAAAAAAGCTGAATTATGTGAAAAATGCAGCAAATCAAAAGAAACAAGTGATTTTGAAGTCAGATCAGAGGAAAAATAACTCTGATTGCTTACTTTACGCCACTTCAGTTTGCACAGTGCTCTGCCTTGTTAAAGAATATCTCTGCTTTGCACTTTTTGCACCCATACTGATCACATGCAATATCAGAGGGCAATAACTTTCTTGTCATTCTTCCTCATCACCGTTTTCTGATCCACCTCTTCAGAAATGTTTACCGTAACAAATGACTAGGCATTTGGCCATGTGACCATCTGCTTTGAGATCACAGAGTGGCACCAAATGCAAGTATTCAAGGGTTTCTTTTAGAATACTGCAATCTAAGACAGCAGCCGTAGCAAAAGAGTGTGCAAATCTAATTTGGGTCTGCTTTAGAGCAGGACAGATACAATGAGATCAGTTCATGTGCGCAACTCCTTCAGAGTGAGAAAAGAGAGTGGGGCCCTCTTGTCTATTATGTTCTGTAGTGTTAACATAATATATACCTTACTATAAAGGGCCACAGACTATGGCCAAATTAGTATGGAATTCAGAATCCAGCCTGTCCAATCCAGGAGCCAGCAAGATTTTTTTTTAAGGAATCTGCTGCATGGAGAACAACTAGAGAAACCCTCTAAAGTTGCCCTGGATGACACTATATAAAGAAAAGAGATTTAACCAGTGTTGCCATTGGAAACAATAGAAAGATTTTTATTTACACTCGACATCTAGCTACCTATATCAGCTCTTGCTTTGGATGCCAAACTGATCACCCCAATCCTGTATGTGTATATTACAATGAACCGAACCAGCCTGATCAACCCAATCCTGTATGTATATGTTACAATGAACTGAACCAGTCTGATCACCCCCAATCCTGTATGTGTATATTACAATGAACCGAACCAGCCTGATCAACCCAATCCTGTATGTATATGTTACAATGAACTGAACCAGTCTGATCAACCCAATCCTATATGTATATGTTACAATGAACCGAACCAGCCTGATCAACCCAATCCTGTATGTATATGTTACAATGAACTGAACCAGTCTGATCAACCCAATCCTATATGTATATGTTACAATGAACCGAACCAGCCTGATCAACCCAATCCTGTATCTATATGTTACAATGAAGTGAACCAGCCTGATCAACCCAACCTTGTATTTATATATTACATTGAACCGGGCCAACCTTATAACCCCAATCCTGTATGTATATATTACATTGAACCGGGCCAACCTTATAACCGCAATCCTGTATGTATATATTACATTGAACCGGACCAACCTTATAACCCCAATCCTGTATGTATATATTACATTGAACCGGGCTAACCTTATAACCCCAATCCTGTATGTATATATTACATTGAACCGGACCAACCTTATAACCCCAATCCTGTATGTATATATTACATTGAACCGGGCCAACCTTAAAACCCCAATCTTGTATTTATTTATTACATTGAACCGTGCCAACCTTATACCCCAATCCTGTATGTATATATTACATTGAACCCGGCCAACCTTATAACCCCAATCCTGTATGTATATATTACATTGAACCAGACCAACCTTATAACCCCAATCTTGTACGTATATATTACACTGAACCAGGCCAACCATATAACCCCAATTCTGTATGTGTATATTACATTGAACCGGACCAACCATATAACCCCAATCCTTTATGTATATATTACACTGAACCAGGCCAACCTGATCACCTCAATCCTGTAATTCTTCACTTTCCTGTCAAAAATCTGAACTAATTCTAATTAGTAAACACTTGTGAGTACACATCACTCAGAAAAAGCTATGCCTGCTAAAAGAAAAAATAGCCTATTTGCCCGGCGCTCGTGTTTTATTCAGCGACTGTCTGGCTGTGAGAGTGGAAAGAAAACGAGCATCTTAAATAATGCTTTACACTTTTTTCGTTTATTTTCTGTTAAATCTGGCCTTTGGGTTGGAGCCATGTTTGCTGAGGCCACAAGACGAAACAGGGGCAGGATGGAAACCTGTAATTAGAGATGACTTGAATGGCATCCAGTTTGGGCACTGCTTTTATAGGGCTTCAGTGGTTAATTAATGCAAAAAAAAAAATTGTTACAAAAAAAAAAATTAAGGTGGACTTTCTTGGTAGAAGCAACAGGTATTTGTGAGACTTTGCATAGGCACTAAAGGGAAACTGAAGTGAAGAGATATTTACAATTGAGTGCTACAAGACATTGTTTTTAATGGATGACCATAGTTCTATCCTGTTTTATGAAAGCAAAGGAAAGGAAAGTGTGGGGGGGGGGTTTGGGGTTGTTTCTGGGAGCTGAATGAGTCCACTGATGTAATATTTACTTTTAGCCACAAGAGGGTGGCAGGGGGCGCTGAGCGGACCGAGCCGGAGCCTTATATCCAGTTCATTTGCCTGAACCTTCCTTTCCCTGTGCCTCGGGTCCAGCAGGGAGGAATCTCTGTGTGCAGCCTGGGCAGGGACCCCCCTAAAGTAAGCAGAAAAGGGGGGGTGCCCAGAGATCCGGTGGGGGGGTCAGCCTGCCATGGGTCCCAGCTCACCCCAGACCTGCCCACTGCCACCCTGCCAAGGTGCATGTAGGGTCCCAGGGGGGTGAGAGTGGCACTTGCACCAGTCTTATGTGGGATCATAGCGGGGTGCCCAAAACGAGCCACGGGCTGGGACGGGATGCTGTCACTCCGATGGACGTGAAGCCGGAAGAATGAAGTAACCGTGATGGAGCCGGTATCAGCCCCGGGCTCCAGACTCAGAGCAGCCGCGTCTAGGGGGTGAGTAGGAGCCGGCGGTGGTGTTGGGATGGGAGGGGGGCTGATCGGTGATAAACGGTGAACATGAACGGTGATTATTACAGCTTGCCATGCCATGCCAAGCACTTTTCTGACTACTTTTCTTGTCTCCTCTGATTGCATGCACAGGGGTCCCTTGCAAAGTTGCAAACCTCTATTGGCCAGTAAAGGGTATGTGGATCCTGATGGCAGGGATGCTTTGGGAAATTGCTGAAGTCTCCAGGATTGTAGAAAGTCTCTCCTATTGAATGGGCAGCATTGTAGCCAGCTTCTGCAGTGCCAGTGATCACAATGAATGGTGTCTGCTGACACAAGTGTCACCGGGTGCCTCTACATTAATTAATTGGGTGTCACCGATTTTGCTTCAAATGATTCCCAAACTCAGAGGTAGATTAGAACAAGCGCTGCCCATAAATATGCTAAAAATGTGCTCTTTATAGTAGAGCTGCAGCTAACGATTATTTTCAAAATCGATTAGTTAGCCGATTATTACGTTCGATTAATCGGTTAATCGGATAAACAATAAAATACATTTTTAAAAATGGCTCCAATGATGGGACTACTAGTTTGTATTGAGGTTGTAGTCCATCACAGGAGAAAGCTTGGAGCGGTGGAAGTAAAAAAGAAAAAAAATAGTGTGGTGTGCAATATAGTGAAATGGAAAGTGTAAAATTATACAGCAATGAATGCAGAATGGCTATAGAGGACTACAAATCCCAGCAATAATACAATACACTGTGCAATGCAGAATACCGCCAGCTATAATGTACTATTGCTGAGATTTGTTGTATTCCTCTATAGCTGGCGGTATTCTGCATTGCGCTGTATAATGTACTGTTGCTGGGTTTTGTAGTCCTCTATAGCTAGTCGTATTCTGCATTGTGCTGTATAATGTACTATTGCTGGGTTTTGTAGTCATCTATAGCTAGTGGTATTCGGCATTACACCACTGTATAATGTATTATTGCTGGGATTTGTTGTACTCCTCTATAGCTGGTGGTATTCCGCATTGCGCTGTATAATGTATTATTGCTGGGATTTGTAGTCCTCTATACAGCGCAGTGCAGAATATCACCAACTATAGAGGAGTACAACAAATCCCAGCAATACATTATACGTACAGTGTATAACGTATTGCTGGGATTTGTAGTCCTCTATAGCTGATGGTACATATACAGCACAATGTACCATCAGCTATAGAGGAAGACAACTTCCACTATCCCAGCAATACATTATAGAGCACCATGTGTGGGAAAGTGCAGTCTTCCAGCAACTTGCTTCTGAGATCGGACCTGTCTATCGGCGGCTGTCATCCCCCACACCTGCTCCTCCTTACTACATCTCCCCGCGTCCCTGTGCCGATCGTGGATGTGGGCGGGTAGTGAGTGTGATGCGGGGAGGAGGTGCAGCGTGTAGAGCGTGGATGCGGGCGGGCCTGGCAGCGGCGAGTGTGAGGTGGGGAGGAGGTGCGACGTGCAGCATGTGGGAAGCCATGAACAGGGCCAACTGATCGGAAGCCGATTAATCGATTATTGAAAAAGTTGACAACTTTTTCAATAATCGATTATAATCGATTATGTCGATTAGTTGTTGCAGCCCTACTTTATAGTAAGTTTCAGGTTTGCAAAACTTTATTTAGAGGTCAGTAATCACATCTTCCTTATTAATTTCAGTAAGGGCTTATTCACAACACATTCATTGAGCTGCGTTTTTCTGCACACCACAGCACTTGTGCAATGTAAACAGGGCATATAGAAAACAATTGCCCTAGTCACACCATATAGGCGCAGTGGTGTGCAGAAAAATGCAGCCCAATGGACTTGGTGTGAACAAGACCTAAAGCAGGGGTAGGCAACCCTCAGCACTCCAGCTGTTGTGGAACTACAAGTCCCATGAGGCATTGAAAGACTTTGACAGGCACTGGCATGACTCCCCAAGGCAAGATCCATGATGGGATTGTAGTTTCACCACAGGTGAAGTGCCAAGGTTGCCTACCCCTGCCCTAAAGGCTTAAGATACTTAAATTATCATAGGCAATACATATGCACATGGTGTGTACCGGTAATCATTGTTTTCATATTATCGGTCACATTCATATGCTTAAAATATACAGCTGCATACGATCTAGTTCAAAATTCAAACACTGTGATCTAAATCCTTTGGAGGTGCTTCACAAACACATGTCAGATGCAAAAGATAAAGATGCCCATGTATACTGAACCTTTACATGATACCATTGATTTATTTGTTCATATAGTGCCGACAATTTACACATAGCTTTGCATACTGTACATTACAATTTGTTCCTGTCCTCAAGGAGCTTACGATCAAATGTTCCTATCTCATATACACACATACCAGGGCCAATTTTCGACAGGGGCTAATTAACCTGCCATCATGTCTGGGAAGAAGGTGGATAACCTGGAGGAAACCCACGCAAGCACAGGGAGAACATGCAAACTCAGTGCAGATAGTGTCCTGGCTGGGAAATGACCTGGTGACCCCCAGTGCTGCAAGGCAAAAGTTAGCAGGGGTAATCTGTGCACTGAATACATCCCAGGGCCCACAATACAGTTTAATCCACAGCTGCCCAAGCCTGACCTGGCTTGTTATATACCCAGAGATACATAAACTGCCAGTATTTAGGGTATGCGCTACTAGAATTTCTTCAATTTGTGACTAAACTCTAATCTGCACATTCACTTCTGTAGCGAAGCAGATTAACATTCAAGTCAAGCCAGCAGACGTTCTAGTGATGCTTATTGCAGACTTTCCCAAGGGATGACATTGATATTGCACAGTTTAGACATTTACCTCGGATTCTACTTACCCAACAATTGGTTCCCTGTGGATTGGGATTAAGTGTGGATTCCGTAATTTGAATTAAAAAGCACTTTGAGATCTCATGAGTGAAAGGGACAGAGTGGGTCCAGTGGCTGCTTAATGCTATTTGTTTCCTAATCCCATGACTGCTACTCCATGTGAAAACTTGTTATCCCTGTTACAATGTGTCAAGGGACGGGGATTCAATCGTTGGATTATTTTACATGAGGTTTTTTGTCCCCAGTGTGATCATTTCCTGTGTAATAGAGTATAGCGAACCCCAGATCTGCGTTCTAGCGTATAGGTTGGTGATCGGTACCTTTAATCATTCATTGATGATGGCTGTATTGATAGACTAGAAAGATTCTGCTGTTTCAGCACTTTTGTTGATGATTATTATTGTTAAAGGAGACATTATAACATTACAGGAGGACCTGGATAAAATAGGGGAGTGGGCATTAATGTGGCAGATGAGGTTTAATGTCGATAAATGCAAAGTAATGCACTTTGGAATTAAAAATAAACAAATGGGTTATACAATTATGGGTATGCCGCTAGGGAAGTCAGAAATGGAGAAGGATTTGGGGGTCATTGTAGACCACAAACTGAAAGGTAGTTTGCAGTGCCAGGCTGCTGTAAACAAAGCTAGCAGGGTCTTGTCCTGTATTAAAAAGGGGATGTATTGCAGGGACAAGTCTATAATTTTGCCACTTTATAGATCATTGGTTCGACCTCATCTGGAGTAAGCGGTCCAGTTCTGGTCACCAGTACTAAGAAAAGATGTCCTTGAGTTGGAAAAAGTCCAGCGGAGGGCAACCAAACTAATTAGGGGTATGGAGGACCAGAGCTACGAGACAAGGCTACTAAATTTAAACATGTTCACATTGGAGGTGAGGAGATTAAGGGGGGATATGATCTCCATGTACAAAATGTTCAATGGTGGCAGCAACATTAGCGATAAACTGTTTAAAATTAACTCCGTTACAAAAACTAGAGGCCACCACCTAAAATTGGTGGAAAAAAAATTCCAGCACAAGGGGCGAAGGGGGTTCTTCACAGTAAGATCAGTTAGGGTCTGGAACTCACTGCCACAGACAGTGATTTCAGCAAAGAATGTGGAATTGTTCAAGAAACTTTTGGACGATTTCTTAAGGGACCGTAATATACAGGGGTACAGGTACTCCTAGAATGAGATCCTAATAGGTTGGACTTGATGGACTAATGTCTTTATTCAACCTCAAATACTATGTAATTATGAGGCGAGTGATTTTCACTCAGCCTCATAATCTGAGCCGACCTGTGACAATGAAACTGTTACATGGCGGCTCAGTAGATCGGGAAGTGAGTGAACACATACCGGTGCTTGCTGACTTCTCGATCTATCCCTGCAGAGAGCCGTGACTGTCACTCACAGCTCCCTGCAGGGATTCCCCCCCCCCCGTCCGATCCTCCAGCGCTGACTGGCGGAGGGGGCGGGTACAGCTGGCTCTGCCTCTGCCAGCTGGCACTCACACAGCTGGGTGGATCCAGACGGAATTGTCGGGATCCGTTTTGGCTGCGTCGCCTCAGTATACCGCTGCTGTAGCTCACGGTATACTGAGCTTTGGGTGACGGGAGGACGCTAGTTTGTGTCCTCCTGTTACCCTTAGGAGAACTATGGGGAAAACCCTGACCCCATAGTTCTCCTTTAAAGGCTTCCTGAGTTTTTTTAATTTTACATTCTATAGGATTCCGCAGTTTGTTTTAATGTATAAATAATTTGTATGCAATCTACATAGAGTATGTAATAATTTGTTACTCCACACTATGTAATCAAGATGCCAACAGTGTAGAATGGGACATAGTTTGTTTATAGCGGTTCCAAGAGTTGTAAACTCAAATGTAACAAATTAAAAAGAGGTAAAGAAAGAGCAGTGTGCAGTTTCCCCAACACTCTATATATTCCACATTAGCTCTGATATGGATTCAGATTATAGGAAAAAAGAAAGTTGAAGCTTTCAGCACAAGATGATCCTGCTCATAAATGTATGCATGTTATTTGGAAGAGCGGTCAGAGAAAGAGGACATGTGTACCTTTTTAAAGAAGGAACAGTTAAACCTTAAAGGATACCATAGGCTGTGCTCCAGGGGGACCTCTCTCTAGCCAAGAGATGTATTTG